GAAACAGTTTCACTCTGTTGCCCAGGCTGAAGTGCAGTGGCACAGTCTGGGCTCACTACAACTTCTACCTCCCAGGTTCAAGTGATTCGCCTGCTTCAGCTTCCATAGTAGCTGGGATTACATGCACACACACCACCATACCTGGCTAATTTTTATATTATTAGTAGAGACGGGGTTTCACCATGTTGGCCAGACTGGTCTCGAACTCCTGACCCCAGGTGATCCACCCACCTCAGCCTCCCAAAGTGCTTGGATTTCAGGCATGAGCCACTGCGCCTGGTGGAATTTGGCACTCTTACATGAGTAAATATCCTTAGGGCATGCAGCAGTTTAGAGGAGGGAGAAGATCATATATTTTTAATTACTAAACTGATCTGTGGCCCTCAGCCTCCCTAACTCATTGACTTAAGGGCTTCTTGGTTAAGGGTAGATTCCTCCTAGAGTGAAGTCACTGTACACCTTTGAAAATACAAAAATAGGCTGGGCAAGGTGGCTCATACCTGTAATCCTAGCACTTTGGGAGGCCAAAGCAGATGGATCACCTGAGGTCAGGAGTTTGAGAACAGCCTGGCCATCATGGTGAAACCCCGTCTCTGCCAATAATACAGGTGGCAGGCGCCTGTAATCCAGCTACTTGGGAGGCTGAGGCTGGAGAATCACTTGAACCCAGGAGTTGCAGTGAGTGGAGACCACACCATTTCCCTCCAGCCTAGGTGAGAAGAGCAAACCTCTGTCAAAAGAAAGAAAGAGCGAAAGAGAAAGAGAGGGAGGGAGGGAGGGAAGGAAGGGGAAAAGAAAAGAAGAAAGGGAAAAGGAAATGCAAAAATAACTTTGAGAGTCCCTAGCAAGGTAATACACTTAAATTTCAGACTTTATGAAGAGAAGAAATGGAATTCTAAATTCCAAAAGCTGCCCTCTATGTATAAGTGCCAAGATTGGAGGTCTATAAATAGTTTTACTGAAAGTACTAACAGGAAAGGGAGGCCAAGGAGCTAAGAGGGAGTGGAGGTGTCACCCTCCACTGGTGTTCACCTTGGGAAGAATAGGACAGCAAGGAGCAGTGAGGAATTGGAGACAAGGACTGACCTTGCCACAGTTCTCAAGACAAAGCCCTGGATCCTGCCTAGAGCCACACCCCAGGTGGGCAAGATGAGCAATGGCTGAGGGAGGGTCCTGAGGACAGCCCCACACTACAGGCTGCCACAGGTCACAAGCTGCTGAGAGTACTCAGGCCAGGATGCCAGGACATGGGAGGCTGCAGAGTACAGGGCCCACAAAAGTGGAGATTGTAAGCAGGATGCAGGATCTCAGCAGTGGGTGCCAGCATGGCCCTGTGGAACCAGGTGGTGACAGACACACTACATCAGATGCAGTCTAGACCCAGAGGACAGACAGTATGGGAGCCTGCAGTCCCTCCCTCCATGTCCTTTGGATTCACAACTGCTCCCTGAAGCCATCTAGAGATGGAAGGAGAAGGGCAGGCAGGAAGCCCATTGAGGGTAAACAGTGCTGATAGAGCTTCATCTTTTACTTGGCTGAATATTTAATGAACAGAGACTAACGTCAAAAGGGATCTGTTTGGCAGGTGGCTTTCCTCTTCAGGAGTGGGGAGTCTCAAACAAGATAAGGTCGGATACAGGACGTAAAGCTACATTATTTTCCTCACATTCGAATCATGGTATGGACATTTTAACCCAATTATACCATAGAGATGGACTATCTGTAGCAATAATTTACAACCTAATTGCTCAATATTGCATCTTATTTGACTTTAGAACACACCAAAATGACTGTAGAGATACTGAGGACCTTCTTGGACCTTTGCAAATGGATTAGAAAAGAGTCAGGGAAACTTGTCCAGGGTTGTCCAGCTAGTCAGTGGCAGAGCCCAGATTCAGGCCCAGGCAGTATGGCTCTGAGAACCTGGTTTGTGTTCCTAGACTAGCTGCCTGGATGCTTAAAGCACTTGAGTTTGCACCCCTAGTTCGGTTGGAAAGCACTATCCTTTGCTGCAGGTCTCTCACTGTGGTAAGCACTTGGCATAGGGTTTGTTTTCAATATATTTCCTTTGGCTTTTGCCCTCTTCACCTTAGCTCACGAAGTTGACATGAAATAATAGCTGAGAAAGTGCGTGTAGGGAGCTCAGTGCAAGCCAGGCATGGCTTCCCTGGCTTGTTAGCTCCATTCGATGAAGAGTTAAAGATGCAAGGTGAAGCATGACACAAAACCCGCAAGCTGCCTTAAAGGAAAAGATGGCTAATTTTGACTACATAAAAATAAATTCACAAAACAAAAGAAAGGGTCAAAAGACAAAAAACAAGCCAGAAGAAAAAAATCACAACACCTGATACAGCAGTACATCTTTTTACATAAAATCAGTTCTCATATTTCAAAAAAGCAAAACACGGGCCGGGCGCAGTGGCTCACGCCTGTAATCCCAGCACTTTGAGAGGCTGAGGTGGGCGGATCACAAGGTTAGGAGTTCGAGACCAGCCTGACCAAGATGGTGAAACCCTGTCTCTATTAAAAATACAAAAATTAGCCAGACACGGTGGTGGGCACCTGTAATCCTAGCTACGCAGGAGGCTGAGGCAGGAGAATCGCTTGAACCTGGAAGGTGGAGGTTGCAGTGACCTGAGACTGTGCCACTACACTCTAGCTTGGGCAACAGAGCAAGACTCCATCTCAAAAAAAAAAAAAAATTCCCTGCTGATATGCTTACATTCACAAATGTATGTAAGAATAATTATTGTTGTATTCATCATTTTTACCTTATAATTTGTAGCCTTGACAGTTTCGCAGCCTTCAGTATTGGCTGTACCCAAGTAATTAAAAATTATTGCAAATGCAAACCTGAAGATGTAACATGCTTGCTCAAGTCCCTCCAGTGGTATCCCATGATCTAAGGATGAACTCTAATCCCATAACTTGATTTATGAACTCTCTATGTCACTGCCCTCCACCACTTCCTATTTTACATTTTAACTTTTAGCAAACACACACACACACACACACAGCTATTTCATGCTTCAGTGCCTTTGTTCATCAATCATCAGTTGGTTCACAATTTTTTTTTAATGCTATGGCAGGCATTATTCATTGCTTACTACATTAGTTAGGAATTGCATTCAGCTGCTAATAAGAAAGACCCAAATATAGTGGCTTTAGTAAATTAAGAATTTATTCTCCAAAAGAAATCCAGGGACGGGCGCCGTGGCTCTCGCCTGTTATCCCAGCACTTTGGGATGCAAAGGCAGGCAGATCACGAGGTCAGAAGTTGGAGACCAGCCTAACCAACATGGAGAAACCCTGTCTCTACTAAAAATACAAAAATTAGCTGGGCACGGTGGCACACGCCTGTAATCCCAGCTACTCGGTAGGCTGAGGCAGGAGAATCACTTGAACCCAGGAGGCAGAGGTTGAAGTAAGCTGAGATCATGCTACTGCATTACAGCCTGGGCGACAGAGCAGACTCCACCTTAAAAAAAAAAAAAAGGAAATTCAGTCTGGGCACAGTGGTTCATGCCTGTAATCCCAATATTTTGGAGGCCAAGGCAGGTGGATCACGAGGTCAGGAGTTCAAGACCAGCCTGGCCAACATCGTGAAATGCCGTCTCTACTAAAAATATAAAAAAAAAAAATTAGCTGGATGTGGTGGCAGGCACCTGTAGTCACAACTACTTAGGAGGCTAAGGCAGGAGAATTGCTTGAACCGGGGAGGCAGAGGTTGCAGTGAGCCAAGATCATACCACTGCACTCCAGCCTGGGTCACACAGCAAGATTCTGTCTCAAAAAAAAAAAAAAATGAGAGGGAGAGAAAGAAAGAAAATAAAAGAAATCCATAAGTAGGCAGTCCAGGGCTGGTGGGGTGGCTTAGTGTAATCAAGGCTTCCACTTATTTCTTATTGGCCAGAACTGGGTCACAAAGTCACCCCCACGTGTAAGGAAGGTATATCAGTTTGAGTTTGGCTGCAGTATCTGCTTTAGCTAGTTTAAAAAGAAAGGGGATTACTAGGGCGTTAAGACTGCAGTTAGCTGTGATTGAGTCACCACACTGCAGCTTGGGTGATGGAGCAATGCCATCTCAAAAAAAAAAGTAAGAAAGAAAAGAAAAAAGGAGAGAGAGAGGGAAAGAAGGAAGGAAAGAGGGAGGGAGAGAGGGAGGGAGGGAGGAAAAAAGGAAGGGAAGAAAGGAGGGAGGCTTATAGGTTATTAGTGACTTACAGAATCATGAGATGAAACTAATCTGGTATAGTAACAATTTCTAAATCCATTCCACGGAACTGGGCTGCCAAGGTAGCTGATACCTCTGCCATGACCTGGACTCTGCCTGCCAAACGGGAAGCTGCCCTACAGTGGCTGACTCTGCAAGCATGCCGCCTTTGCTAGACATATGTGATGGTTAATTTTTTGTGTCAAATTGACTGGGTCGAGGGATGCTCAGATCACCAGTTAAACATTATTTCTGGATACTACGGACCGAATGTGAGGGAGGCTGAAACAAGATTGCTAGAGCCCAGGAGTTTGAATTCAGCGAGGGCAACAAAGTGAGAACCCATCTCTACAACAAAACTAAATGAAACATAAGGGGTCTGCTAGGGGTACTGAACTCAGTTGTTAGAGATCAAGGAAGGCAAAGAGGGATGAAAAGAACCTTCTAGACAGAGGAAAAAGGCACGTAAAACATGATACTTTGAAGGAAAGTGCATGGAAGGGGGTGGATTCTTCATCTATGGTATTTCATTTAACCCTCAAAATCATAGGAATAAGTACTATATTACTTCCAATTTTCAAATCAATGAGGACTTTGAAAGGTATGTTAAAGGATTTGGACTTAAGGGTTACTAAAAATATTCCATAGAAATGCTGAGGTGGGCCGGACGCAGTGACTCACGCCTATAATCCCAGCACTTTGGGAGGCCGAGGTGGGCGGATCACGAGGTCAAGAGATCGAGACTAGCCTGGCCAACATAGTGAAACCCCATCTCTACTAAAAATACAAAAATTAGCTGGGTGTGGTGGCATGTGCCTGTGGTCCCAGCTACTTGGGAGGCTGAGGCAGAAGAATTGCTTGAACCCAGGAGGCGGAGGTTGCAGTGAGCCAAGATTGCGCCACTGCACTCCAGCCTGGCAACAGAGCAAGACTCAAAGAAAAAGAGAAATGCTGAGGTGTTGGGTGCTGGGGAACTCCTGGGAAGCACAGACTTCCCCAGAACATGAAATTCCATAAACCTACTAAAAAACAAAACAGACCAGGAGATGTTATTTGCAATGCATATCTGTTAATTGATTAAAGATTAGTATCAGGCCAGGCTCCGTGGCTTATGCCTGTAATCCCAGCACTTTGGGAGGCTGAGGCAGGTGGATCACTTGAGGTCAGGAGTTCCAGACCAGCCTGGCCAACATGGTGAAAACCTGTCTTTACTAACAGTACAAAAATTAGCCGGGCTTGGGGGTGGGAGCCTGTAATCCCAGCTACTTAGAAGGCTGAGGCATGAGAATCACTTGAACCCAGGAGGCGGAGGTTGCAGTGAGCCGAGATCACACCACTGCATTCCAGCCTGGGTGACAGAGTGAGACTCCATCCAAAAAAAAAAAAGAAAGAAAGAAAGAAGAAAAGAAAGGAAAGGAAAGATATTAGCATCCCATAGATCAATTTTTAAAAATACAAATAGCCGGGCACAGTGGCTCATGCCTGTAATCCCAACACTTTGGGAGGCCGAGGCAGGTGGATCACCTAAGGTCAGGAGTTCAAGACCAGCCTGGCCAACATGGCGAAACCTCTATTAAACATACAAAAGTTAGCCAGACGTGGTGGTGGACACTGGTAGTCCCAGCTACTTGGGAGGCTGAGGCAGCAGAATCACTTGAACCCAGGAGCGGAGGTTGCACTGAGCCAAGATTGTGCCACTGCACTCCAGCCTGAGCAACAGAGTGAAACTGTCTCAAACAAACAAACAAACAAAAATAGTCCAATAAAAATTTCACAAAAGCCACAAGGCTGTGATTTATAAAAGAGAAACCCCAAATGATTAAAAACAAGTGAAAAAAATGTTGGGAAAAAGGAAAAAAAAAAAATAAACAGGTATAAAGTTTTGTTTCTGTTATCAAACCAAACTCGGGTCCTTGTGCCTGATGTAGTAAAGCCAAACGCCCACACTGAGGTTTTGCAGTGGGAGAAAGGAGGGTGTTTATTTGCAGGATACCAAGCAGGGAGAATGGGGTAGCTCATGCTTAAGACCCAACCTCCTCCTACATGGCTTACAAGCAAGGATTTTTAAAGACAGGGGTAAATTTCAGGAAAGCAAAAGTTACAGGCAAAACTGTCAACAAATACACAGAGGTAATATATTCATTTGGCTGGAAAATGTAGGATATCTTGAAGCAAAGGTGCTTAGAGATCATAGGTGGATTAAAAGACTCTGATTTGTTTGTGATGAGTTAAGTAAATGAAGTTTTGTCTAAAAACTTGGGGTCGCCAGAAAGGAATGTTACAATTTGGCCATGGGCATGACTTCCTCCAGGCCCCTCAGGAAGAAATTTAGATCAGAGGTCAGAGTTCAGTCCTCAGTTCTCCCACATCTGAGGTCTACATGCCAGCGAATCCACCTGGTGAGGGTCCAGGTTTCTGAAAACAACTCAGAAACATGTGCTAAGATGTTGGGACTTATAGTCCCAGCACTCAGGAGAATGAATAGGGAGGATCACCTGAGCCCAGGGGGTTGAGGCTGCAGTGAGCCATGATTGTGCCACTGCACAAAACAAGACCCTATCTCCAAAAAAAAAAATCAGTGGGCGTCGGAGGTGGTGGGGTGGAGGTGGTAGATAAAGTATAACAGCTAGCCAGAGAGTAAAGGCTTATTATGCACATGAGAAAATGTTACTTGTTTGAAGAACTACAAGATTTATGTATGATGACTGTTGCAAAATGGAAGATAGTCATTCATTTTCTTTTTTTAAATAGGGCCTTGCTGTTTTTGTGTTCTGTGTGGTTAACAAGGGGGTAGGGTGCCCATGTCCATGTATAACCTCACCAGTGGACCAAAGTTTCCAGGCTCCTGGAAGAGGGCTCATACATGTAGAAGGATGACACTCCCTGAAAGGTGACCTTTGTCTTTTGGGACACAGGGATCTCTGATATATACATATATAACGCATAAGAACAAGTATGTAAATACACACATGAAGGATATTCAAATCAGTTTTCTTTCTCTTATGTACATGGCTGCAATTGCAACATTATGCCCTCTAGTTAACTGTTCCTTCCAGTTAATATCTTCCTTGTCAATCATTACTTTTTCCCTTGGAGACTTTTGAGAACAGCATACTTATTGTCCCTTAAAAGTGATGCCTATAATCCCAGCATTTTAGGAGACATAGGTGGATAGATCACAAGGTCAGGAGTTCGAGAGCAACCTGGTCAACATGGTAAAACCCTGTCTCTACTAAAAATACAAAAAGTAGCCAGGCATGCTGGTATGTGCCCTACTCAGGAGGCTGAGGCAGGAGAATTGCTTGCACCCGGGAGGTGGAGGTTGGAGCCGATATCATGCAACTGCACTCCAGCCTGGGCAACAGAGCAAGACTCCAATTCACACACAAAAACAATAATAGGCCGGGCGCGGTGGCTCATGCTTGTAATCCCAGCACTTTGGGAGGCCGAGGCGGGTGGATCATGAGGTCAAGAGATCGAGACCATCCTGGTCAACATGGTGAAACCCCCTCTCTACTAAAAATACAAAAAATTAGCTGGGCATGGTGGTGCGTGCCTGTAATCCCAGCTACTCAGGAGGCTGAGGCAGGAGAATTGCTTGAACCCAGGAGGCGGAGGTTGCGGTGAGCCGAGATCGCGCCATTGCACTCCAGCCTGGGTAACAAGAGCGAAACTCTGTCTCCAAAAAAAAAAAATAATAATAATAATAAGTGAAGCTGGTAAAATCTGAGAAGAGGGTTGCTGATTCCGTATAGTAATTCATTGAAAGCTTTAATGGGATGCTAATTTCAGGACACAATTTATATTATCCCTGAGGTGTGAATGACATAATTTAACCTTAGTTTGAATATTTCAATTAATTCCACATTCTGGACTCTCTGTGTCATCATTCTTGAATAATTTTTAAGAGTTAAAAATTATTATTTCTTTTTTTTTTTTTTAAAGACAGGGTTTCACCATATTGGTCGGGCTGGTCTTGAACTCCTAACCTCAGGTGATCCGCCTGCCTTGGCCTCCAAAGTGCTTGGATTACAGGCATGAGCCACCACACCCAGCCGAGTTAAAAATTATTATTTCACATAGCAAGAAGCCTACGCTGGAGTGGCTCCCCGGCTAGTTCATTCTACTTAATTTGATGACTATTGGATGTCTTTATGTTGCTGGGTTCCTTCTCTTTTCCACTTTGCCATCTCAGATAAATTCCCCTCATTTAACAAGACAGTTGCAGCAGGGCCAGGTGTTCTTTCAGTACATAGATGAGAATATCCAGGGGAAGAAGAGGCATTTCTTCCCATATGTGTCTCTGCATCACTGAAGAAAACCTTCCCTCAAGTCCCCTAGCAGACTTCCGGTCAGGTCTCACTGGCGAGATTGAATAATTTTAAAACATTCCCTTGCATTCAGAATTTGTAGTATTTAAGTAGTTATTTGCAAAGTTTATTCTTAACATAAAATTTAAATGTTTAAACAGAAAAGGAAAACACTAGTATCTCACATTGACAATTAAAGCCACTGTGGCTACCTCATTATTTTGGATTCTGGCAGAAATCATAAGTAACTTAGTTAATTTTCACCAAAATTATCTCAGTAATGTTCATGTACATCAAGTGTTTAAGAATCAATTTTCATTCAGATCAGTGCCCTAGTTTCTGACAATTTAATGTATTTTTCTACAGATTTGGAACTTTAACCTTGACAAAAGGTATAAATACTATGATTATCTCAATGTCAATATTATGCTTAAAAATAATCGTGCTTGAGGTAAAAGGATCTTATATAGAAAAGTCATGCATTTATGACTAGGGTCATTTACATTCCTCTTGCATTAACTATTTTAACATGCTTACTATTGAGCAAGGAAAAGCACAAGGATGTGGTTATTACAGTCAACTTCCTACCAGTTCCAACCTCATTTTCTGCTGCAAACATGTAGGGGACATGGGAGGTTCTCTAAGTCATTCACTAATATGAAAAAGGGCTGAGTATTAATACTAATGAGATTTACATGTGTAAGTGCAGACTATAGATTATGGCGGCCCATAAAAAATAATATCCTATATGCCCCTGAATCTGCATGTGTGTCTATCTACAAAATGTAAACTTTCTAAGGTAGTCATGATTATATTATCAAAGAAGGGCTATTTTTAAAAAGTTACTTTTGATAAACTATATCTGATTTAAACCATGAAATTTCCCCTTTGAAGTGGTTATAGTTGTATTTGCAATTGTCAGCATTAACTCAGTTCAACAACTTAGAGACCAGCGACCCCCAGGGATTCACTCATTGCTGGAAAACGCTGAAGCCTTTTTATAATGCTACTCAGGAAGAAGAAGTGATGGGCTGATGGGGTAAATCTTAGAAATGGTTCGTTTTTGCAGCCTGCAGAGAAAACTGTACTACTTTAAAAGTATTTTTTCAATTTAATTTAATTACAAAATCAATGCATATGCATAGTAAAAGTCCAAATAGGAAATAATGATATAATAAAAAATAAAAATACCACTCTCCCCTCAAACCCAAGTTTCACTCCCAGAGGCATTCATTAGAAAATTACAAACAGGTTCTTGTTTGTTTGCTTCTTTGAGACAGAGTATCAGTCTGTCACCCAGACTGGAGTGCAGTGGCTCGATCTCAGCTCACTGCAACCTCCACCTCCTGGGCTCAAGTGATTCTCATGCCTCAGCCTCCCAAGTAGCTGGAACTACAGGCACATGCCACCACCCGTGGCTAATTTTTTTTGTAGAAACAGGGTTTTACTATGTTGCCCAGGCTGGTCTGGAACTCCTGGGCTCAAGAATCCACCCACCTTGGCCTCCAAAA